TATTGTACTAGATAGATTCCTTTTATTTGTAAGGTGAAAGTAGCTTTTGTGCCCATAGCCTGTGCTCTGGGCATGGGAGGGGAATGGGCTGTATCTGCTGCAAGGTCACCCCAGGGTCTGCCCCGGACAACCTGAGGGGAGCATGATGCTGGTTCTGCCTGGTGACAGTTACAGTACCTGTGTGTGTGGGGAATGTACTGGCTGCATGAAAACCCTTTCGCTGTGTATCATTGTCATCCTTACAAGAAAAACCTAATGTTTCAGTGTGTTGTCTCACTGTTCTGATGCGCACTCAGAGAAGAGTTTCTAATTCAGCCTCTCACCTTTGTCAGGCACTTCTCAGGTAAATAGCAGCAGAAAGTCATGCAAAAAGCTAATCCTGACTCTTCCTGCATCTTTTCATGGAACGAGATGTGGCATTTGCCATCCATCTCAGCAAGCTTCTCTGGAACAAGTCCCTCTGGAACTTGCCCCTCTGCTCATCGTCTGCTGAGTTAGCACTGAACAAAGATGCTGGGCCATGTCATGCCACAGCGGTGTGTCTGTTCTCACTGGAAAAGCCTCCAGAGACACTAATCTGGGAGCCAGCGGGAGCAACATTTGCCAGTGCAGAGGCCCAAGGCTGGCATCATGTCCCTGTGGGACCATTGTTTTACTGCTTCTTCCCCTTCACAGGATTGTTTGCCAGGTTGCCAACAGCACGGGTGAAGCCTCCAGCTGCACCCAAGTGCTGAATGGTGAGGCTGTTACCCCACAGGGTGACATGTACAAGGCTGGAAGTGGGGTCAGGGGATGGAGGGGAGAGTGGGGCTCCTTCCCCTGCACCTGCAGCTTTTCCCTTTGTAGCACCAGAGCCACCTCGCTGTTTCCGCTCTGCCCCAGCAGATTGCCATGCACTGGGTCTCAAGGAGTCACATCAGAAAGCAGCTGCAGCTAAGTAAGTTAATGTGTTACACCTCAGCTTCCATCAATGCAACCTCCTTGCGCTGGACCTGGATGCACATCACTGTTTTAGCATCACTGCTGACGCTGGACAGTCAGAGGTGGTCCATGGCCAGTCACCTCTGTTGTGTAAACTAACATATAGGAAATGATCTTGCGCTTCAAGCATCTTAACCAAGAGGGATGAATAAGGTTTCTCTGTTTCTTAGCTGCTGCAGATTGCTTTGGTGTTCCAGAGTTTTGGCTACGATTTATTATACTTCATCCTACCTGCCCTCTTTGGGTGCAGGAGATTTTGCCCACTCAGCCTTTTGGGTGCAGTCGTTCTTGGATTTTTTTTTTTGCTTGAAAGGAGCTCAGAAGGGAAGGGAGAAAGCATGATTTCTGCAGCCCCAAAGGGTTATTTCTTTCATCGCTAAGGATGCTGCGTGACTTTATTGCCTTTCTGAGCTCTTTAACACAGTAATAAACGAGCCGTTAAAATATTTTAAAATCAATAAATGTAATAAAGAACCAAGTAAATTACAAAGCCGCTCCTGATGTTTAGTGATTTAGGAAATAATCATGTCCTCAAGCGAGCAGTGAGTGGGGTGGGGAGGTGGCAGGGTGACCTTGCAAGGACTGCTGCACCAGGGGCCAGAGGAGGCAGAGCCTGTCCCAGGGCTAAAGGAGGCTGTGGGGTGCCAGGGGTGCAGGCTGAGCTGGGTGGAGGTCTGAACAGGCTGGGAACTCTGCCTTATCACCTCTTGCCCTTCCAGGCTACTGCCAAGTTTGATCTGGGAGTTCCCTTTGCCTGGAGCATGGGTTTAATTTCCAGCTCAGCCTCCTGAGCAGATTGCGGCTTTACTCAAATCTAGCAGTGTGCCTAAGCGAAAGGTGACCTCCAGGGCTGGGCTGGATAGGAGGGGACTGGCGGGTGCTGTGGGGTCCCAGCAGGCTGGGCATTTCTTGCTTGCTGCTATTCCACCTTGCTGGGCATGTGGGATGGAGCTGGGGTGGGAATGGGGAGTGGTGGCAGCCAGGGCTGGAGTCACAGCCCTTCCCTCCACTTTATTCACAGGTTCACATGTCTAAATGACTTCTCAGCAGCTGTCCTCCCTGGAGAACTGCTTCCTTGAAAGATGATACTGCTCTTGTAATTAAGGTAATTGTTTAAATTCATTCCCTTAAACTGGACCCTATCATAACTTAACCAACTGTATCTACACAAGCATGGGGGGTTTGGAGAGGGTCAGGGCGGGTGTCAGGAGATTGATTCTGCACCCAGGAAGATTTGTAGGTAAAAATCTTGTTAAGCTGAAATACCTATTAGAGATGCAGGGAAATATTGCATACAGGGCATAACCCAGGCAGGCAGGTGCCCCAGACCACTGCTGCCTCTTGTGCTGCAGGGATGACTGATGGGCTGAATGTCACCCCTGCAGCCAGGCATTTGCTGGTGGCAGAAAGAAGTGTTCCAAGCTTCCCCCCCCCGGCCCAAATACCAAGTAGGGCTGCACACATTTTGGCTCTTTCGAGATATTTAATTTTCTTTCTCACTTACCCTGAATGCTTTCCGATTTCATGGAAATCTGAAGGTAATTAGATATAATTGTTTAAAGAATTGAGTTAGTTAAGTTATAGGGTAATGCTTGAAATGAAATTACAATTTGTGGGTGTTTATTAATACTGGTGGTAGATGGAGAGCAGTGACAGAGCGCTGTGTGCCATTCCGCCCTGTGTGGAGCTGCAGGGTTGGGTATGCTGGGGAGCCAGTGGCTGGGGAGGGACAATGGCATGAGGATGTGGCATGGTCCTGTGTGAGTGACAACCCTGTGGGGTGCTTGTCCTTCTCCAGGAGCCCAGGCCATGCCTAGATTTATCCTCTGCCTGAAACAGCCTCTCTTTTGCGGAGCCCAAGATCTGGAAATGAGCCATTTGACTTCACAGTAGATGTAAATACTTTGAACTGTTCACCTGGTGCTATTTCATGCTCCCTTGCTTTTGGCCATATAAGTTAAGCTGCCCCCAGACCAGCTGTATATTTTAAACCAACATTCAAGACTCTTAATTTAAACTTTTAATTCAAGGCTGTCAAATAAGCTGCGCAAACAGCATGGTCCAAGGGACTCTGCAGTCCTTAACTGAGCAAAACTTACTCCCAGACCTGCAAAATTACGCACGGTGTTAACAAGAACAGTGACGAAAAAGAAACGTTTCCAGTCCCCTCCCCAACAGTTTGCTCCTTGTTGCATTGTATTAATATCATACTTTTTGTTAGAGGCCACAGCTGATGCCGCCGTGATGTGGTGTTGTTTTGCCAGCCCTCCCATGCTAGATGACATTGGTGACATGGTGTGACACAACCAGCAGTGCTGAATGTGACAGACCACAGCAGTGCATCCACTGGGGCAGTGTAAAATGACAGGGATGGCTAAGGCTCCTGCTCAGAATACTCTAAGTAGATTAAAGGAGAAGAGAGGCTTTTTCAAAGTTTCTGTCATGGTTTTTCTTAATCACTAATACTTTTCCCCATTTATCGTATTAGGGAACTTAAATCAGGAATTTGCATGGTGCTCCAGTTCCTTACTGTGGTATGGGAATCCATGAGTGCTGGTCCACTGACCTTGAGTTTATCAAAACAAAAAGAGAAGAGGGAAAGAACAGCATGATAGGTCTTTGCTGGGATGAAGGCTGGGCTGAGGAATGCTTGTGTACTCCCTTACCCAACGTGCTTGTGAAAACCATGGTTGTTCCAATTCCGTGCTGATAATACTTTTTTTTTCACACCCACAATGTCTGTTAAGATTATAGTAAAGCAAACAAAAAGGAAAGGAAAAAGATGCCGCCTTGTTTCTCCTGGATTTAGCAAACTTCAATTATTTTTCTTTTGTTAAATGTACAAAGTCTTTCTCTAGCCATGAATATAAGAAAGAAATGAGCACCCCAACCATTCTTCTGACCATATTGAGCTTCAGGGGACTGGTGGTGTAAACTTGAGCATCCCACCTTGCTTACAGTCACAGGTGCTTGCTCTCCTTCCTGGTGCTGAGGAAGGGCACCAACAAAACCTCAGCTTTTATTGGTACAAATGGCCCAGATCTGGTGTTTCTTGCTTTTCCTCTTCCTCAGTAAATAGAACAGGCTGAATGCTCATCTCAGCTTCTGTGATGACAAATTGAATGTAACTCCCCTAAAACCTGTAAAACCAGGCTAGCACAAAATCAGTGTGGACGAACCACAGACCTAGCAAAACCAGTAACTGTGGCTGCAGGCCTGTCTGATGAGGTATTCATGGGACTGGAAAGAAAGAGAGGTGAGGAGCACATTTTGGCTTGTGATAAATACTGAAAAGCAGTGTATGTGAGCATGTGAAGTGGACAGCGGGGAGCTGTGCAACACTGGCAAGCAATTGCGACAAACCCTTTGCTGGGATAATTTAATCTAGCACAGTCAATGGAGCATGGCGAGATTATGATGATCATTATTTATTATATGTATTACACTTTTTTTGTTGGTTTTTTTTTTGAGGGTAAGAGCTGCTAGTGCTGTTCTAAATAACAGAAGAGCTGGTGCCTTCTTTCTGTGATGAGTGACTGGAAATGCAGTGAAAAGCTGCTCCCACATCCTGCCCAAATGCCATGGTGTAACTGCAATAACTGATATTTCTGCATATTATGGATATCATTGCCTGGCCATTCCTGTAAAATTATCCAACACAGCAGACTCTGTGTGTTTGTGTACAGGTGTGTGCACACACACTTAGTGTTGCTGGCAAAAATATCCCAAGTGCTATTCCCCAAATTTCCATGTAAATGATCCAAAATTAAGTGACTGGTCTTTCCCACCCATGGCATCATGTAAGCTCAGCATCTGGCCGGGCTGCTGCAGGAGTGGGACAAAGGGCTGATGCTACAGTCTGGTTTCCATGGCAACAGAGGAGGGGTAGCGAAACCAGAAATGTTGCAAACACCCCTTTTTCTCATTGCAACCCAATGCACGGTATTGCGAAAGATGCTGCTTTTGGGGAGGGGGGGCTGTGGGTGGGAGGGAAGAGTCCAAATGCCTTTACCTTTCAACTTGTGGAGTTCCTGAAATAAACAGAAATGGCAATTTTTCTTCTTGGTGTAGCTGTGAAGAGAAAGGAAACCCGGCGCGCAGGCCTCATTTTCTGCGTGTAAAATGTGTGTGTTCTTTAAAAGGCAGTGGTTGGCTGCTTTCCGGACATGATGTGGTTGAAGCTGTCATCGTAATGGAAATTCATTGCTGTAGCTATGGTAAATCGAGTTTTCTGCCTGTGCTGAATGCATTAGTCTAATGAGATGTTTGCAGCTGGAGAGCTGAGCTGCTGGAGACTTGCACTGTGCTAAGAGACAGGGAGAAGATGGCTTTTGCCAGGGTCTGTGTGACTGTGCTGAAAGTCCTCTTCCCTTTGGGTCCCAATGCCCGGGCTCTCTAAAGACCCTGCTCAGTGTTTTATCCTAAGCAATAGGTAAGGGGAAAGCATGCTTCTTCTTCTCTGCCTGATGTTTGTCATTGAACCTTGTTGGAGCAGTTCTCATTCTGTGTATGGTATGAGTATGCTAACTTTGCAGCTCCTCTGTTGGAGACCCTCTTCACCAAAGCACACCTTTCCTTACCCTTGGGAGCAGTTTGTGTGAGGAGAGGGGCAGCAGATCAGTGTGTGCTGCCTGCACGGCAGTGGGAGTGTGTGTGTGTGTATGTGTGCACCAGTTGATGAAGACTTCTGACTACAGAGCACTTTGCATGCAGAGCGGCTTCGGGCTTTTCCAAATCTGAGTCTAAGCAGGGATATTTTTGCTGCCAGGTAAATGCATCTTCCATTTTACAAGCAAGCTATTTCACAATATTTTTAGCAAGCAGTATCAGAGATTTTGAGTTTTGGATAGTTCATAGAGCAATGAGTTCAATTATAATATTATCTTTAAAACAGATGCTAAATTGAATTTTTATCCTTATCTGAAACCTGAAAGAAGAGATACTGTTTAAATGCTGTGTTTTTCCTTCAAGACTAACAGCAGCTAGCTTATGAGAGATGCCAAGGAGCATACTTTAGCAGAGTTGTTTCTCTTTTCAGGTGTCTTAAAGGTAACTTTGAGAGAAGACAGAGCACAGGGATGAAATGCGTGCAGGTGCCTGGCTAGCCCAGCCGGTCCCTCCCTAGCTCCCCAAGCCTCCGACGCCACCCCAGCCCACCGCTCGCTAACAGAGGGTGAAGCCCGGCGTGGTTCAGTGAGTAATTCAGCCTTTGACATCTGGGCACCGTTTCCCTTTCCATAGCTGGTGAATGGCTCTGAGCACTGGTTTCTTTGCCTCGGGTTTGTCTAATGGCAGTGGTCTGGAGAAAGAAGTTGCTTTTGGTTTTGGTGCATGTGAGGCTTCTGGAGGAATATAAAGTTAATCTGGCAAGCAGAAGAAGCAAAGTTGTTTGAATTCTCTGCTTGGAGGGGGATTGCTGTTTAATCCTTGGTTTATTTCAAGAGGCTTCTGAAGACATTTTGCTCAAGGTTAGACCAAGAGCTTTTCAGATTGAATAAAGGCACAGAGGGAAATAGAAAGCACATAAACTGGGGTTAAGTAGCAAATACTTGTAAAGTGTGGGGATGTTGCTATTTGTGAGAGCAGGGAAGGTGTCTGAAAAGTGTCTTTGTGCTTCAGGAATACTTAACAGCATCCTCCACCACGCTGTTCTGCCAGTGCTTGGTAGAGCTGAGCACACTGAGGGTGTAAATCAGCGTAACTTCCTTGGCTCCAGCCCTACCTGACACCAGCTGAGGATATGACTTGGAGGTTTGCAACTTCAGGTTTTGTGATCATATTTAGATGAGGTGTCTCCCAGCTGCCTGTGGCTGCAGGTGACTTTGTATTTTAATTAAGATGTTGCACTGATTTTCCTGCTGAGGCAGAGCCTCTCTGCCCCATCATAAAAGTTATTTAGCCAGTGCACATGTTACTCTGATTAGAGAGGCTAGCAGGGGCATGAGCTTTTTAATGATGGAGTGTGGAAAGGGGACAGGAACAGAATCTACCAATGGAAAAAATTACATGTACCGAATTAGATCAGAAACACTGCAGAAGGTGTACCGCAAGAAATGCTTTTTTGGTATAGCACAGCAACTCTGATATTTCTGTTTTCGTTTATTGGAAATGTTGAACTGGAGTGCTTTCCTATATTTGGTGGAGAAGAGTGTGTAGAAAGAGGCAAGTTTCTTTCTTGGTCAATCAGCGCCTTACTCTGAGGTTTCTCACCTGCTGGGAACACATGACTGTACATGTGCTTGATGGTGGCTGTGGTACCTAGAAAGAAGTAGTTGAGGAATGCTTTTCCCTCAGGCGTTCCCTTAGCTCTTGCTTGACACAAAGGCTTGTGGTTTTGACACATACTGAAAAAAAGTTTAAAAGATCAACACCATGGAGCACCCCAACATGGCACACCTGAGCTTCAGGAGGCTGAGATTACATTCTGACCTTACACAGATGTCTCCCAGTGACTTTCCTCCTTCAAATTTAAGGTAACATGGAAAGAAGGAAAAAGGCAAGAGAAGGCAGAGGTTGTAGGGTGAAGTGAGGAAGAGGGGTGTGGGATGCTTGGCTATTCACAGCCTGAGAACTGGAGACAGGCCAGCCATGCTGGGATGAGGCAGGTGATCAATGGTCTTGCTGCTGCGACATCGGCTGCCCTCTGTGGGGACATGTCCATCCTCCTCATCCCTGGCCATTCTGGGACCTGCTGGCACCTTCGTGGGTTCCCCCAGCACCCAGCTGTGGTGGGAGCTGACCCAAACCCCATAGTGGACAGCAGAAAAGGGATGAGTGAACCAATTCCTCAGCCTCACCACATCTCACTGGGTTCTGACCTGAGGTGCGCAGGGGCTGCTTTCCTGCTGCAGACTGAACTCACATCACTAAGGCTAGCCAATATTCCTAGCATTAGTTTGAAAACATCTGGGGTACTTTAAACTAGGGACCAAGGCTTGCTCCCCTCCTGTGAAGAGTGGGGAAACCACACAAGCCTGGCATCTAAATACAAGGCATAAAAGCATGGTTTGGGTAAGGAAGACCTTCAGGAAATAGTCAGTGAGAATAAGACAGCAATGATTTCTGTTAAAAATGGAGTGAAGCAATAGGCTTACATTTGATAACACTGAAATCAGCAAAGCCCTCTTATCTTCAGAGGATGTTAGTTCACTTTTGTAAAGTATATTCAGTGGCATTATGAGAAAAAACAAAATCAACGATAAGGAAAATATACCCCAATTCCCTAAAATCCTGCCCTAGTTCTCTCCCTACAGCTTTAAAATGGTGCAAAGGAGGAGTCAGCTTTATTTACATAGAACACTCCCAGCTGAGTTCTCCAGCTGACCATTATGAGCAGCTACAGTATTTAGCAGGTGACGGTCACCACCCAGCTCTCTGCAGTGAGAATGAACAATAATAGGTTTACTTATGCAAAGAAAACCTAGGTTCACCTTAGAGGAAATAAATGAATTACATGTATTAGTTCTGTTGTAACAAGTTGCCTCATGAGAAATTGGTTTTCTGTGCAAAGGAAACAAAATTTTCTCTGTATTTTGCTGTATATTAAGAAAAGGATATAATTCTAAAACATGTGTCAGGGGAATGCACACTGCTCTGCCAAATGGAATCATGATAAACGGGTGCATTAAAAGTACTGGATAAATTTGCTATTGACTAATAAAACTTAAAACAATTTATAATCTGAACTAGCAACTTTGCACCGGATTTTTCTGTTGAGAACGAAGGAACTGACAAAAGGAAGGGTGATGTGCAGTGAAGGGGGGGGAGGGTAAAATTTACTAATTAAAGATCTAAACTTCTGATATTCTTATTTTTTAATAAAGCCTTATAAAGATGATGAAACTGTAAGTCGTTTGTTAAGATTGACTGCTCCCCTTAGGAGCTAGTATAAATTTGGCCCAAATACAGAATTGCCCAGAGGGAGCCTGGATGTGTAATTATGTTCTGCTGAAGGATGAATAATTCCTCATGAACTGAACAGTTTGCTGTTGCCCTGCAGTTTATCGTGACCCTAAGACCCCGTCTTTAAAGGTGATTCTCACTGTACAGCAGAAATGGTGCTATAAATGCCAGCCTTTTGCTCTCTGCCTGTTTTGAGTTTGTTGCTCTGTTCAGTTTGGGTGTGTGATGCAAAGGGTTTTTTTTCTGTCCCAGGTCAGCAGCGGGACCAGGAATACACCTCTGGTTTCCTGCTCCTCTTACCTAGCATGTGTGCGGATGTTGGCGTTCTTGGCATTGGCAATGTCAGACCAACAAAAGCTGTCACAGGGGCCAGCTGTTGCTCTTTTTGCTTCCAATGGTTATATATGTGGGGCTCCCAGAAGTATTGCCTGGCAGGTGTGACTGAAATTGAGCATTTAAGGTTATGCCCTAAATTGCTCTTGGTGCTTTGGTTACCATACTCCTCACAGAGGGTCTGCTCCTGCCTGCATCATAGCACACATGGGCCCTGGGTGACCAAGGCAGGAGGGAATGGGGCTGCACTTGGTGCAGGGCAGGGAACAGCCCAAGGTCTCACTTGATGTGCAGGCATCACTTGCTTTCCTGCCACCACACTGCAGCTCCTGGGTCCCCGCTCAGGAGATGGGCAGCTGGCTAAAGCCACCTGCAGCCCTACCCCAAAGGCATACAAGCATTGACACACTTTTCTCCACATCTGGAACTGGTGCTGCACATAAAGTGATGCCTGGTTCTGCACACCAGCTCCCACCTTGACCCAGGGTGCTGGGCAGCAGCAGCAGTTCAGCTGCTGGACCTCTGCTGGTACCTGTGCAAGCCTTGCATTCCCAGGGAGAGCTGTAAAGGGTTAACCCTGCAGCACGTGCAGTGATAGGTGATTCCTCATGACATCCTCCATGATCTCAAGCAGCACAAGTAATTTGTAAGAACTCGGCTATATTTCTCCTTGATGCGTTCCTTGGGACATGACCATCATGTGTGCGCGTGCCTTTTCCTGAGGGACCGAACTTCAAGAGCTGCCCTACCCCTCTGTTGTGTTAAATACCTTTTCCTGATGCTCATCTCCATCCTTCCATGCTTCTGCTTGTGTGTCAATGGTGTGAAGGGGGTACCACAAAGTGTAGTGTGTTTTACTCGGTGGGAAGTGCAGAGGGGGTATGAGGTGCATTCTACTTTCACCCTATCTTCCTGCAGGTGTCATGCACCTGAGGCTTCCATACAGAAGCTGTGAGTGCTTTTGCTTTCAAAACTGTTTTAGATTTAATGGCAGGTGAGAACACTCTGTCCCCACACCTCAAGCCTCGCAGGGCAGAGGCCTGAGAACCAGGTTCCCTGCAGCCAACAGGGCTACCAGCAGGCTGCAATGAGCATTTCCTACAAGGAAGGTCTCAAAACAGCTCCCTAGAGGCAGATGCCACCCTGAGATTTCTCCGAGCTGATCAGGCTGGCTTGCGGGCAGCAGTCTGCATGGGCTCTTGGTGGTAGTGTGTGTTAGCCCCCTGCCACCAGCAGGAGGAAGCTGCCATGTCTCTAATGCACAAGTCCTTGGTGACCAAAAAGCCTCTAAGCAGCATTTGTCTTCAATGGTTTCTTCCTGCCCGGGAGGACATCACAGACAGGTAAGTTTTTAACTCAAGACCTTCTCTTGTGATGGGACAGTACTTGGGCAGAAGAGCTTTTGAAAGAGGAAGTGGTCATGGAACAGGGGAAAGTGGAGCTCTGGGGTCTTAGCTGAGGACAGACCCATGGGGCAATATTAAGGACAGGGACTGTTTGGTATTTTTTGTCTCTGCTATTGTTTTTGTTTGAGTCTGAGCTGCCACTGTGCCTAGCCATCCCACACTGTCCTGACAGGCAGCCAGGCAAGCACGGTGGTGGTGCTGGCTGCTCTGTCTCAGCTCACACCTGGCCCTGCAGGGACATGCCTGCCTGCCCTCACTGCTGTACCCTCAAGCTTGAGCAGATGCACCAGCCCAGAGCTTACACAGGGGTGCTGTAAACACCTTAGGGGTTTGTTGGTGACTCCTATGGTAAAGCCCCACAGCATTCACTAATAATCATCCCAGCAGACTTCTGTGGAGTCTAATGGTAGATACGGCCTTTTTGATGTATCTACCTGCACATTCCCATGAGCATGTGTATGCATAGGAATTCTCCTATTGAACTGTGCAGTAGAGACAGAGAATTTTTCCTTGTTTTCCATCTGAAAGAATCAAGAAGTAAATCAGTGTTAC